CTCATCTCCCTCCTCCTCCCTAACCTCCCGACTCCCACGTTGGCGAAACGCACCTGAGCCCCGGCCCGTGACGTCACGCAGGTGTGAATATTGATACGGGCAGTGTGAACTCTGTTTGCGTTCGTGATTGTCATCGTCGTGCTGATGTTGCCCGCTCCGCGTGTTCCTCGTCATGTCTCTCAGTGGAGCGCGTCATCATCATCGTCGTCGTCGTCATCGCCCAGTGAATGTTATTCCGACGCTGTCAGTGATGCCATTGTCTTCTGAATCAGCCACTCAAATCATTCCCTTAAGGCAGATGGACTCAATCATATTCGTCAATAACACTGTAGCCTTAAAGATAAAATATATATTATCGGCGACGTTTCGGGCAATGGCTCTTCTTCACGGCACACGATGTCCTTTGTGCATAGCACTTACACGTCCGACATAATTGTGAAATCTATGTGCTTTAAAAGGGTAATTTCCTGAAACGTCGTATTTCATATTTTTTTTTTTTACGATTTAAACCAGAGGCAAGACCCAATGAGCTATGCGCAGCTCTTTCCCAGAAGCGACCTGGCCACTAATGATAGCTCAGCGAAGTGGCTTATCATCACGTGAACCTTTTATGTCAGACAAATTACAGCCCTGTACGCCGAACGCGTGTTTCTCATTGAAGGTCGCACACACGGACTGACGCGTTCAGTCGCGTGTTCATCGTTGCGTGTGCACTACTGAAAACACTTTGAGACCCCCAGGACATGCGTGCCACATCTGTTAATTGTGATATTATGTAAGTCAACAGCCGATGATGCACGTGGGATCAGAGAGACACAGGCACACAGCTCTCAAGCCCACGCGGTTTAACCCCGTAATCTTGTGCAGGGAAATCAGAGTTTTCAGGGTCCATACGGCGGACAGCCGTTTCAATGCGGGCAAAAATCATTCTACTTGTTTGTGTTTCTGCCTTGCGATGGGACTTTGTATGATGAACGTTGAGATGTATAAGGTCTGAATTGGTCTGTGATAAGGGGCCGTCCATGAATGACGTCACGCGATTTTGGACGATGTTTTAGCCCCCCCCCCTTCATCATACGGCGTCACAAAAAGTCAGACCCCCCTCCCTCAAAAATGACGTCACAAAGCTCTGCACCCCCCCCCAAATAAAACATGCTTCAAATCGCTTTAAACTATTGTCATCGTAGTGCGTATTTAATGTGGCGCTGCACTCTGATGTCTCTGATGTTGTAGGAGAAAACATTTATTAAAAAGTATATTTAATTAAGTAGAAAGTGTTGTCTATATTTATTTAAAGTTGCGCATTTTGATGTGACGTCACATTTCTCAAACCCCCCCCCCCTCGTCACACATCGTCACAAATGTCTGCCCCCCCCCCCCCCCCCAGGTGCGTGACGTAATTTATGGACGGCCCCACAGTGCTTGGAATTGCACCGAGAGACAGAGGACAACCGCGGAGAGAACTCACGCAGCGAGAGAGGCGAGGCGGGGGCTGCGGTCAGCAGGGATGGCGATGGGCCGGCGGTCGAGACGAACAGCGGAGTGGCAGCCAAAGGCAGAGGACACAGACCCCTCCCCACCCCCCAACAACAACTAGGACGTCTCCCGCGGAGATGGAGCAACGAAACGAGCTTGTGCTGCAGATGCTGCGCCGGATCGTTGCACGGCGAGAGCGGGAGAGCCTTTGCGGGCAGCTGTGGAGCGCGCGCCCATCCAGCAGTGGAGAGAGCACGTGGAGGGGTGGGTGGGGGTGGTGGCACAGTAGGGGGCACAGGTGGTGCATCAGCCAGTCATCTCATTCATCTCAGTCAGTGGGTGGGGGTGGTGGCACAGTAGTGGGGGGCACAGGTGGTGCATCAGCCAGTCATCTCATTCATCTCAGTCAGTGGGTAGGGGTGGTGGCACAGTAGGGGGCACAGGTGGTGCATCAGCCAGTCATCTCAGTCATCTCAGTCAGTGGGTGGGGGTGGTGGCACAGTAGTGGGGGCACAGGTGGTGCATCAGCCAGTCATCTCAGTCATCTCAGTCAGTGAGTGGGGGTGGTGGCACAGTAGTGGGGGGCACAGGTGGTGCATCAGCCAGTCATCTCATTCATCTCAGTCAGTGGGCAGGGGTGGTGGCACAGTAGGGGGCACAGGTGGTGCATCAGCCAGTCATCTCATTCATCTCAGTCAGTGGGTAGGGGTGGTGGCACAGTAGGGGGCACAGGTGGTGCATCAGCCAGTCATCTCGGCCATCTCAGTCAGTGGGTGGGGGTGGTGGCACAGTAGGGGGCACAGGTGGTGCATCAGCCTGTAGTCATCTCAGCCATCTCAGTCAGTGGGTGGGGGTGGTGGCACAGTAGGGGGGGGCACAGGTGGTGCATCAGCCAGCAGTCATCTCAGCCATCTCAGTCAGTGGGTGGGGGTGGTGGCACAGTAGGGGGCACAGGTGGTGCATCAGCCAGTCATCTCATTCATCTCAGTCAGTGGGTGGGGGTGGTGGCACAGTAGGGGGCACAGGTGGTGCATCAGCCAGTCATCTCATTCATCTCAGTCAGTGGGTGGGGGTGGTGGCACAGTAGGGGGCACAGGTGGTGCATCAGCCTGCAGTCATCTTAGCCATCTCAGTCAGTGGGTGGGGGTGGTGGCACAGTAGTGGGGGGCACAGGTGGTGCATCAGCCAGTCATCTCAGCCATCTCAGTCAGTGGGTGGGAGTGGTGGCACAGTAGTCGGGGGGGGGGGGGCACAGGTGGTGCATCAGCCAGTCATCTCATTCATCTCAGTCAGTGGGTGGGGGTGGTGGCACAGTAGTGGGGGGCACAGGTGGTGCGTCAGCCAGTCATCTCAGCCATCTCAGTCAGTGGGTGGGAGTGGTGGCACAGTAGTCGGGGGGGGGCACAGGTGGTGAATCAGCCAGTCATCTCATTCATCTCAGTCAGTGGGTGGGGGTGGTGGCACAGTAGTGGGGGGCACAGGTGGTGCATCAGCCAGTCATCTCAGCCATCTCAGTCAGTGGGTGGGAGTGGTGGCACAGTAGTCGGGGGGGGCACAGGTGGTGCATCAGCCAGTCATCTCATTCATCTCAGTCAGTGGGTGGGGGTGGTGGCACAGTAGTGGGGGGCACAGGTGGTGCATCAGCCAGTCATCTCAGCCATCTCAGTCAGTGGGTGGGAGTGGTGGCACAGTAGTCGGGGGGGGGCACAGGTGGTGCATCAGCCAGTCATCTCAGTCATCTCAGTCAGTGGGTGGGGGTGGTGGCACAGTAGTGGGGGCACAGGTGGTGCATCAGCCAGTCATCTCAGTCATCTCAGTCAGTGGGTAGGGGTGGTGGCACAGTAGGGGGCACAGGTGGTGCATCAGCCAGTCATCTTGGCCATCTCAGTCAGTGGGTGGGGGTGGTGGCACAGTAGGGGGCACAGGTGGTGCATCAGCCTGTAGTCATCTCAGCCATCTCAGTCAGTGGGTGGGGGTGGTGGCACAGTAGGGGGGGGCACAGGTGGTGCATCAGCCAGCAGTCATCTCAGCCATCTCAGTCAGTGGGTGGGGGTGGTGGCACAGTAGGGGGCACAGGTGGTGCATCAGCCAGTCATCTCATTCATCTCAGTCAGTGGGTGGGGGTGGTGGCACAGTAGGGGGCACAGGTGGTGCATCAGCCAGTCATCTCGGCCATCTCAGTCAGTGGGTGGGGGTGGTGGCACAGTAGGGGGCACAGGTGGTGCATCAGCCTGTAGTCATCTCAGCCATCTCAGTCAGTGGGTGGGGGTGGTGGCACAGTAGGGGGGGCACAGGTGGTGCATCAGCCAGCAGTCATCTCAGCCATCTCAGTCAGTGGGTGGGGGTGGTGGCACAGTAGGGGGCACAGGTGGTGCATCAGCCAGTCATCTCATTCATCTCAGTCAGTGGGTGGGGGTGGTGGCACAGTAGGGGGGTGGGCACAGGTGGTGCATCAGCCAGTCATCTCATTCATCTCAGTCAGTGGGTGGGGGTGGTGGCACAGTAGTGGGGGGCACAGGTGGTGCATCAGCCAGTCATCTCAGCCATCTCAGTCAGTGGGTGGGAGTGGTGGCACAGTAGTCGGGGGGGGGGGGGCACAGGTGGTGCATCAGCCAGTCATCTCATTCATCTCAGTCAGTGGGTGGGGGTGGTGGCACAGTAGTGGGGGGCACAGGTGGTGCATCAGCCAGTCATCTCAGCCATCTCAGTCAGTGGGTGGGAGTGGTGGCACAGTAGTCGGGGGGGGGGGGGCACAGGTGGTGCATCAGCCAGTCATCTCATTCATCTCAGTCAGTGGGTGGGGGTGGTGGCACAGTAGTGGGGGGCACAGGTGGTGCATCAGCCAGTCATCTCAGCCATCTCAGTCAGTGGGTGGGAGTGGTGGCACAGTAGTCGGGGGGGGGGGGCACAGGTGGTGCATCAGCCAGTCATCTCAGCCATCTCAGTCAGTGGGTGGGGGTGGTGGCACAGTAGTGGGGGGCACAGGTGGTGCATCAGCCAGCCATCTCATTCATCTCAGTCAGTGGGTGGGGTGGTGGCACAGTAGTGGGGGGCACAGGTGGTGCATCAGCCAGTCATCTCAGCCATCTCAGTCAGTGGGTGGGAGTGGTGGCACAGTAGTAGGGGGCACAGGTGGTGCATCAGCCAGTCATCTCAGCCATCTCAGTCAGTGGGTAGGGGTGGTGGCACAGTAGGGGGCACAGGTGGTGCATCAGCCAGTCATCTCATTCATCTCAGTCAGTGGGTGGGGGTGGTGGCACAGTAGGGGGCACAGGTGGTGCATCAGCCAGCAGTCATCTCAGCCATCTCAGTCATTCGACCCGTGGCACCTGCTGGCTCTGCCCCGTGACCTCCTGCCAGCGGGCGTTCGACACTTCACGTGGCCTCAACGTGCACCTAGCCTGGCACAAGCGTCGTGGTGACGTCACGGTTGTTGTTGGGGGGTGGTGGGGGGGCCAGGTTAATCTGACAGCCGCACCACGTGTCGCGAGTCCCACGGCGGAGGTCACGTGGCTCGCGCGGACCAATCGCACGTCGCCGCTGTCTGTCCGAGAACGGAGGTCGCGGCTCCGCTCTCGGCTCTCTCCCCGTTCTCTCTCCGCTCTCTCCGCTCGCCCATGGCCACCTCCTAGACGCTCTTCAGTCGCTGCCCGTTGCCGTAGAATCGCCGCGCGACAACCCCGATCGCGATGTCGATGTCGGTCGCTCTCCGCCTTCTCCTCGCCTGCGGCCTGGTCGCCGTATCCGCAGCCTCGACCTCGCCTAGTCCTCCTACCGCTCCGGGGAGCGCGGGGCCCGCCGACGCGGGGACCCCCTCGACCCCGGCCTTGGGCCCGACCGCGATCCCCTCGTCGCCGGGGCTGAACGCGAGCGGCGGCGGCTCCCGGCCTCAGGCCGCGGCTCCGCCAGAGCACCTGGCGGCGCTGGAGGGGGACAGCGCCCTGCTACACTGCAACGTGAGCGGCAGCCCCGAGCCGAGCGTCGCCTGGATCTCGCCCCGCGGCGTCTCCGCGCTGCAGCCGGGATCCGGTAAGGGACTGCGGCCTCCGACACCGCCTCTGCTGCTGAGCTGCAGCTGCGCCACTGGCTATGGCTGATCCAGCAGCAGCAGCAGCCGTAGTACACGCAGTAGCAATGGGAGCGACACCGTTAGCAGCAGCAGCAGTAAACAACACCAATGGTTTCAGCGGTGATAGTCGCCGTGCCAGTAATGTATTTGGCAGTAGTGCCCGCACCAGCAGTAGTAGCTGCAGCAGTAGCAGCGGTAATATAACAGCAGCAGTAGCAGCACCAGCAGTAGTAGCTGCAGCTGTACCACTAGCAGCAGTAGTAGCTGCAACAGTAGCAGCGGTAATATAACAGCAGCAATAACAGCGCCAATAACAGCACCAGCAGCAATATCGGCAGTAGTAGCTGCAGCTGTACCACTAGCAGCAGTAGAAGCAGCAGTAGTAGCTGCAGCAGTAGTAGCTGCAGCAGTAGTAGCTGCAGCACTAGCAGCAGTAGTACTAGCAGCTGTACCACTAGCAGCAGTAGAAGCAGCAGTAATAGCAGCAGCAGTCGTAACACCGTCAGCAGTAACCGCACCACCAGCAAAACTTGCTGCACTAGCAGCTGTCGTCAAAGCAGCAGCACTGTCAGCCGTTGTAACACAAGCTGTGGCAGCAGTACATATCTGATCCAGCAGCAGGAGGAGGGCTAGCTGTATCAGCATAGGTAACAGCACCAGCAGCTGTAGCAGTAGTAGCTGCACTAGCAACAACAGCCCTTTGTCGGGAGAGAGCTTTGTTAACTCACTGCTGGACTTCCCTCTTCTGCACACAACGGAGTCCTGCAACATCCTCTATACAGCTCGCTACTCGCAGGACCAGCAACAAGCAGCACACGTAGACAGATTAGCAACAGTAGCAGCAGCAGCAGCAGCTATCAGACGAGTGATAATTGATACTTTATTTGTGCTTTGAAGAAGGGTGGTTGCCCGAAACGGCGCCTCTTATTTTAGTGACAAATGTGTTGGGTTTCGTTATTTGTGCACCACCGCCAACGCCGCAGCATCACCAAACGCTTTAATGACTAGAGCAGGCATCAGTCGCATCCGCCGTGGCTTGCGTCTGGCCGGGGGGGTGTGGGTGAGTAGATGAGGCCGAAGTCGGCGTCTCGTTCTGCCCCACATGGACCCTGGGAGGAGTCTCCGCACCGGCTCCTGGTTCCTCCGATGTGAGGGCGAGGCGACGCTCGCCCCCGCGGGAGTTGTGGCCACGTACGTGACCTTGGGCAAGAGCCCCGACTCTGCCTCCTGGTGGAGGCTGCGGCGGTGGTGGCGAGGTCTCTCTGGCGAATGTGAGAGTGGGTCCGCCGGTGTCTCGCCGGGGTCTCCCACACGCGGAAGCCGCAGATCACGCGACTCCATTTGTGTACGAATAATAAAATGGCGTGGCTGCTGTGCGCGCTCTTATGTTTGTGTTGAATTCGCGTACCTTATTCGCAAACCAATTCCCACTTGTGCTTCTTTTCGCTTGCACTACGAGGCGGTGATGCTAAGTTTGTTTTAGTGTGGGTTACCGTGTTTAGGCTTCGGGTTGAGGGTTGCAGTTATGGGTTAAGATTGTGAGGTTTGGATGAGGGAGAGCTTATCAAAGATCAATTTGTTATCCTCGAATTTGTGGGGGTAGTAAACGTGGTCGTGTGGAAACACGATGCAAGTACAGTATCTAAACACGCCAATTAATACATCCTTGAAAAAAGGGTCTTTAGACTTGGTGACGTTTTCTATGATATGACAAAAATGGAGATATGTCACCTGTGTGGCCTGTTGGTTTTCTATTCATGCCCTTACCTCAATAAACAAACATCACTCTGAACAAGTTTTATTAAACCCAATCAGTCTTGAGCACCACCCTCCTCCAGGTTTGGTAGCGGGCGATCTGACGTAGCTACGTCAGTCTCAGCGACCGACGAGTGCAGCGAAATTTAAAGTCGACCCTACCCCCTGCTCCTCCCCTTCCTTCCCCCATCCGCACCCCGCCCCCCCAGGCCGCTGGCAGGTGGAGGCCACGGGCGACCTGAACATCAGCCACGTGCGCATTGAGGACAAAGGCCGCTACACCTGCATGGCCACCAACGAGCATGGCAGCGCCAACTTCACGGTGACGCTGCGCGTGGTGTACGTGAGCGGAGACCTCGGCATCTACTACGTGCTCGTGTGCCTCATCGCCTTCACCATCATCATGATCCTCAACGTGACGCGCCTCTGCATGATGAGCAGCCACCTGAAGAAGACGGAGAAGGCCATCAACGAGTTCTTCCGCACGGAGGGCGCCGAGCGCCTCCAGAAGGCCTTCGAGATTGCCAAGCGCATCCCCATCATCACCGGCGCCAAGACGCTCGAGCTCGCCAAGGTGACGCAGTTCAAGACGCTCGAGTTTGCGCGCTACGTCGAGGAGCTGGCGCGCAGCGTGCCGCTCCCGCCGCTCATCACCAACTGTCGCAACATCGTCGAAGAGCTGGTGGAGGCCGTCTGGGTCGAGGGGGCGGCGCCGGTGTCTACCGAAGACGACGACGACGACGACGAGGTTGAGGGGGCTACCGGCGGAGCCAGCGGCGCCGGCGGCTGCGTCTACACCATCCCGCCGCACGGCGACCGCGACTCGGCAACCTGCGACTCGGATGATGCCGCGTCGCTGCCGGGGCGCCGTCACATCGCCATCCAGGTCGCCGTGCACGAGCACAAGCCGGACGGCGGCGCTGCTGCTGCTGCTGCTGATTCGTCGACCCAGCAGCAGCAGCAACCGCCGCCGCCGCCTGCAAGTGCCGGTAATGCTGCCGTTACTACTGCTGCTGCTGCCGCTTCCTCCTCTCCGCCCGTGTCGGCGTCGGCATCGGCCCAGCACAGCCGCAATGGCAGCTCCATGTCGGGCGCCAGCGTGAAGGACGGCGAGGTGGCGCTCGCGCCGGCCGCCTCGTGCGTGTGCTACGAAAGCCACGTGTGAGGTGGCTCCGCCTGGGTTTTGGGCGCCCCCTGGAGGGGATTGGGCATGCGAGAGGGGTATTTTGGACAGAGGAGCGGGGGTCTCGGACCCCCGAGGAGAGGAGTCTTGCACGCAGAGGGGGATTGATGTTGGGATGAGTGGCTCTGTTGTCTCCCACGAGGGGTTCAAAAGCTTCTTCCAAAACAACCACACCTTTTGTACAGTGCTTAGCGTAGTCCCTGTGGAGTGTCACGTTACGCGTAGGCTGGGTGTGGTGAGATAAACTTATTTTCTCTGCATGGCTAAATCCTAAAAAAAGTTTTTTCCCCCAGCGCTTCTTGGTGCTTTACCCACAGCGTCCATGAATTAACACAGAGTGGGCCGTGATGGGTTCTGGCTGGCGTTATGACAACCTTGCCCACACAGGCATATCCCTGTGACACACCAGATGATTGTTAAACTACAGGCTGTGGAGCAGGTGATGTCGCTGTGCCCACGATTGTTCTCAGCAATCGCTGCTCAGTCACGAACCCCGGTTAACCCACTTGTGGGCTAATGTAGATACGGTGGTTTGTCTTGATTATGTCGCTCGTACTATGAGATAAAAATATTTTAAATAAACGTTTGGAAGAGATTAGTTTGGTGTGCTGTGTGTGTGTTTCAGCAGAGCTGTTATCAATGATTACATGTAAAGGAATATGCATTTCATGTTCTGTGCAAAAAACAACCTTTATTTTAAAGTGAAGCAGGGTCCACAAGCCAACCCAAGCCGGCACGGCTGCGGAGACAATCTTTAAGGCACGGCGGTTACATTGTGTGTGTGTGTGTGCGTGTCATGTGTGTGTGTGTACAGTACATGTTTGTCCGCGAGACTAAATATTTAAACACACTGGCCAAATGCGAACAAAACCAAAAAAAAAGAAATACCCCGGTGCATAACGTGTTCACCCTCCACCCAAGGCGACGACGCTCGCCCCCTTTCGCCCTCTCCCGACCGAGGGAGACGTACGGAGAGGACCATGAGCAGGAGCCACCTGCACTGGCCTGAACTCAAACCCGGACCCTCGCCCCTCCCGCACCGCGCGGACGAATCACGTTACACGTCGAGTCACGTAAAGCGGATCGCGCGCCGCTGACGAGTGGCCCTGGCCCCTCGGCGCGCTTGGCACGTCGCGGATTCAGAATGGCCGCCACCACGTTCGACGAGGGTGAGGGGGTGGGGCCAACGGGGTCACGTGGCGTTGATGCGTCGGACTCTTCCATGGACTCTACGCTTGCGGCTGAAGTCCATCTGAGAGACAAGGTGTTGACATGGGGAGATAACAAAAAAGTCCAATGTTTATACAACACAACAAGAAATGAAAGACCCCCCGGTTTAGCCTTTAACAGACTAGGGCCAAGTCCTGTTAGCGAGTAGCACCTATGAAGGTCAGTAAAAGCACAATAGGGGTGGGTGGCCAACACCACACCCTTCCGCCTTTGTCTCCCCAGTGCAGATTAAATTAGTACCTGGGTTCTCATTTAAGGCCGAGTCGATCTAGAGGATGCCCAGGACCAGTTCAATATTCGCCACTCGGTTGGGTTTGTAGCGCGAAACACCGGCGGTGACGTCACCACAGCGCTTGTACCAGGCTAGGTGCACTTTGAAGCTACGTGAAGTGTGGAAGGCTTGCTGACAGGAGGATCACGGGGCAGACCCAGCAGGTGCTAGGGGCTAACTGCGCGAGCTGGACAGAGATCAGCGGTGCGCAGCTGGAGGTGCTGGGTGCAGCTGGAGGAGCGCAGCTGGAGGTGCTGGGTGCAGCTGGAGGTGCTGGGTGCAGCTGGAGGTGCTGGGTGCAGCTGGAGGTGCTGGGTGCAGCTGGAGGTGCTGGGTGCAGCTGGAGGTGCTGGGTGCAGCTGGAGGTGCTGGGTGCAGCTGGAGGTGCTGGGTGCAGCTGGAGGTGCTGGGTGCAGCTGGAGGTGCTGGGTGCAACGGCACTCACTGTCGGCACGCGTGAAGCACTCGTGGCAGTGGAGGCGTCCGGAGCGGAGTCTCACGTCGACCCCGGAGCCCATGGTGGTCAAACCACCTCCGCACACCCCGCACTGACGCGCACGCGCGCACGCACACACACAGGGTGGGTGAGTATAGGCAGCTGCATTGGTGTAAACAGTGAAAGTGCCTTAGTGTGCATGCGTGTGCGTTAGTGTAAGCGTGTATGAGTGGACGCGTGTGTATATCCGAGTGCGTGGCTCCATCATCAGCTGCTCCCCGGTTGGACCCACCTTGAAGCACTCGAGGTGGAAGTAGACGTTGAGGGACTCGATGAACATGGCCGCCCCCTTGCCCACCGAGCTCTGGCAGCCCCAGCACTGCTTCTTGCTGCTCGCCGGCCTGAGCAGGCGGCACACGAGACGCATCACACCGGGGCGGCGACCGACACGCGAACCGGCGCGGTAACGCGGCGGTGCACGGCACGTCGCTGCCGTGAGCGCAGACCGACGCGTCTTGTCGGCACACGGTACACCAGACCCCCCTGCCAACTCCCTGCCAACTCTCAACCCCCCCCCCACTCCCGTCCTGCCCACCCCCTGTTACCTGTCAGGTGCGGGCTCCGGCGACACCGGAGATGAACGGTTCCATGAGCCCGGGCCGTCCGTCATGTCCGTGCTATAGCAGCAACAACAGCACAGGCAAACACAAAGAAAAAGATAAAGATCCCCCAGATAGCATTGTTGGAGCTTGTGCTATTGGCGACGACCTCAGAAGGCCAGCAGAGGGTGGGGGAGCATCACGCCCAGTCCCCTTTGTCTCTCTGTCCCCCCCCCCCTTGTCTCCTGAGTCACCGCGCACAACTCATTTCCCTTTGTCTCCCTGTGCCTCCTTGCATCTTCCCATTGTGTCTATCCCCGACCTTCGACCCCCGACCCTCGACCCCCGACCCTCGACCCCCGACCGGTTGGTTGCGCCACTCACGGCCGCAGTCCCATGTCGTCGCACTGCCGGCGCACGTGGCTCAGCTCGCTGGCGATGGCGCTCGCGCGATCGTGCTCCATCTCGCCCATCGCCAGCGAGTGCCGGATCCAGCTGCGGTCGCCGCCCAGCGTCGACGAGCGCTTGGTGCGGAACTCGACCCCCGAGCTCCTCTTCCACTCGTCGTCGGCGCGGCGGGGGGCCGGCACCGCCGCCCCCGCCGACCCCCCAACCGCGGCGCCGGCGCCGGGCTTGCCGCGGTTGCGGATCCAGCTGGCGTCCGACGTCACCACGGCCGGCTTCTTGAGCTCCTGCAGAATGCGCTGGCGCTCCTTCTCCGCCTGCGAGGCGGTGCGCGCCTCCTCCCGCGCCAGCGCCGGCTCCTTGAAGCCGAGGCTTCCTCGCGCTGCGCACGGACAACGCAAACGCATTCGGAGACACACACACACACACGCGCGCAAGACGCACAGATTCACGCAACAATAACAGCCACCATTCGCCACAACTTCAAAACCGCCGTTCGCCACTACGTGGTGATGTCATCACGGCGCTTGTGCCAGGCTATGTGCACGTTAAGGCCGCGTGAAGTGTCGAACGCCGGCTGGCAGGTCACGGGACAGACCCAAGCGCCATGGGTCAACTGACTGAGATAACTGAGATAACTGGCCGATGCACCACCTGTGCCCCCTACTGTGCCAACTTTCTGTGTTTTAGCCACTTGGCGCTTCGCTCGTTGTTGTGAGCGTCGCTCCTCCGCCCTCCGTTGTTGCTGAAAGGCGACTGCCTCCAACTGCCCAGCAGCAGCAGCAGCAGCTTTCACTAGCCTCCTCTACAGAGTCCGATTTTAACACCGCTGGTACCAGTTTTCGGCAAGTCCACTCAGCTCCACGTCCTCCTGTACCACATCACTCCATCTCTTCTCTAGCCCGTGCCGCTCCTGTTTAGCCCCCTCGATCCGGCTGAACAAAAACTGTTTAGGCATGCGGTGGCTGGGCATGCGTGCTAAATGACATTCACCACAAACACACTGGCACACACGCAACAACAACCGCCATTCACCACTAGGTGGCAGTCATGTCACAACAGTGCTTGTGCCCGGCTACGTGCACTTTGCGGCCACGTGAAGTAGCGAAGGTTCGCCGATAGGATATCACGGGACAGAGACCCAGGTGCCAAGGGGTTGACCGACTGAGATGACTGCAGATGCACCGGCTACACACGCACTCGCGCACCGCCGCCACGCCACGCAAGCAAGGTGCCGGCCTCGGCGGGCGATAGGCGGCCGCGGGGGGCGTGGGTGGAGGGGGGCGGCACTCGCCTCGCGCCGCCGGGTTGGGGTATTTCATCTGCTGCACGATCTGCCTCCTCTCCTCGTCCAGGACGGCCGGGTCGGGCGGCGCTGTCGCCGGCCCGGGCCTCGCCCCCGAGGGCGCCAGCGCAGACAGCCTCTGGGTGTTCGCTTCCTCCAGCAGCTTCTGCGCCATGTTCCCCGTGGCGCGCTGCACACTCACTGGGGACGCACGCGGCCACGCGGCCACGTCACCGGGGGGCGCACGGACGGAGGATGATGCAGGGCAGTGGCTCTCAACAACATTTTTTGGCTACTGTACCCCTTTTTGAATTTTGCCTGATACAACGTGGTTCTGAGAAATAAATGTATGAATAATGAACATCAATATTTTAATCAATTGTCCATTTTGTGCGGTATCTTGACAAGCCAATAACTGCAAGCAAATATGTTTTTTTAAATGGACGCTCTACATACGTGATGTAATCTGCTCGCGCTCCCTAGTTACTCTTGGAAACCACATTGCGCTAAATGAGTTTAGAAAGGTATTTTATATATGGATTATATTGGCAGATTCATACGTGATTATTCACCAATGACTGTCATGTATGATATCATTTCACATATTTATAAAGCACCTCCCTTATCCCCTGGGAAATTGCCACGGAACCTCTAGGGGTCCCGCGTACGCCCAGTTTAGAACCACTGATCTCGGGTGAGTGGTGGTGTAGTGGTGGTGGTGGTAGTGGTGGTGGTGGTAGTGGTGGTGGTGGTAGTAGTAGTGGTTGTGGTGGTGGTGGTGGTGGTGGTAGTGGTAGTGGTGGTGGTGGTAGTGCTGGTGGTGGTGGTGGTAGTAGTAGTGGTTATGGTGGTGGTGGTAGTGGTAGTGGTGGTAGTGGTGGTGGTGGTAGTGCTGGTGGTGGTGGTGGTGGTAGTAGTGGTGGTGGTGGTGCTGGTGAGGATATCGGATGAGTCGCGACGATGCGGTGAGGGGACGTCAACATACCGGGCTTGTGCTGGGGCCCTGCGTCGCTCTCCGTGTGGACCCGCGTCCACGCGCGTGCCGAGCCCCTGACGGACACAAAGACACGACCATCAACCACCGCCGTCATCATCCACCTTCGTCCATCGCTAAAATCTCGACTCGTTACGCAGTGCTGCCACACAGGGTCCGCTCGTTCTCCGAGAGAGAGAGGGGGGACGACTCGGAGGCGCCAGGAGGAGGAACCGCAGACGAGCAGGGGGGGAAGCCGGCAGCAGCCACGCGGTGAGTCGGCACAAAGTTTATGCCCAAGCTCTGCGGTCCCCTGTGTATTAAGGTGTTAGCAGAATCCGGAGCACCCCGAAAACACTTACGCGTGCCAGGAAACACTCCACACGTGGCGAGGCAAAT